AACTTGTTCTATCACTGTTCCAGCTGAAGGTGAGGCAAGGCCACATAAGGGATAGAGCCCTGGCTTGCATCTCATCTCTGAGCCCTGCTTTTGCTATCTTGAAATTATAAGTGCTTGTGCCACCCTCCTCACCAGGTGGTTTTTAAATTGTATTTGTGAACTGTTAAGGACTATGAGATGTGAGAAACTGACAGTTTTTAAAGAATTATTTATTTAACTTTATTTTTTTAAATAATTGTTTTATTTAACTTTATTTATTTATTTTAATTTAACCAGAGAGGGATAGAATGTGAGAGAGAGAAAGCAAGAAAGCAAGCCACCAGGTCCAGGACTCAAACCACAGTTGGCCATGACGGAGTTCAGCACTTTAATCACCACACCATCTGCTGGCCTAGAGACTGACACTCTTTTTAGAGTGTCTTCTTCACAACTAGATTTGATTTCCCTATGTCCCTGGCACTTAACAAAAGACCTGGCACAAAGTCAAATTGATTAAAGACCTGGTTAACTGACTGACACTGAATGATGAAGAAAAAGAAGGTTTACCAAAAGCCCTGGGAGACAGTGGAGGAGCAAGGAAACTGGGACCAAAGTGAACTGGGCACCTATGGAAAAGGGAACTGCCTTGAATTCCTTATGCCATCACTTCAATACTAGTGAGCATCTGATTCTTACGGATACCCTGTGAGGATGAGGTAGGTAATAGTCATTGCACTCTGCAGATGAGGAAACAGGCTGAGAGTGACCAGGAAACTTAACTAAAGTCACACAGTTAGTGGCTGCCGAGACTATACTCAGACCCAGGCTGACTCCCGGGCCTCTTCCCACCGCTCACCTGTGCAATGTAGCATGTCTTCTCAATGCCGGTTCCTCAGAAGGGATTAGTGCATCTCTCCTTGACCTATGTGTCCTCCTTGTCATACAAACTGTTAGCGAAACCTATTTACTTCTTAACTCTCTGCCCTTTTCCTAGGCAAGTGAAACACTCCCCGCTCCCTCTCCACACACTGCCACTTGGAATAAGTCAGTCAAAGACCAGAAAGTCAATTTGTGTTAGATTCATTAAGGAAAAGTTATCTGCTGGAGGGCCTGTGAAGCCACTGGGTTTCTACGGCCTGAGGATAATGAACCGGCAGCCACCTCCTTCATCACATGTCCTCGATTAGCTGCACTTTTGCAGTTTGCCTTTCTCGGGTCAGGAAATGGGCCACAGGAGAGACCGTCAACTGGAAGTGGGCTGGCAGGAGTTGTGAGTGCCTTCAAGCTAGGAAGGCTTGGAAAGAGGAGCTTTGTTAGTACCTGAACCTTCAGCTCTGTCTCTGGATGCGGGATAATAGGGCAAAGGAGGGAGGAGGAAAGAGACCCCTTCTTCGCTGGAAAAGATAAAAGGAGAAATGGATGAAGAGGAGGTCAGGGAGATCAAGATGAAAGAAGAATGGAAAGACACTGTCATTATAACAGGCAACTTTTGTACAGCAATTTATCTATTGTCTCACTCAATCCTCCCAACTGCTCTCAGGGAAGACACTGTTATTATTCCCATTTGAAAACGAGGAGTCAGATTCAGAGCGGTTAAGTGATTCTGAAAAGTGAAGTGACTTGCCCAGACTCAGACAAAATAGTTGTTAGATAAAAGCAAAGGAGGCCAAAGAGACTTGTAAAGGAAGAAAAATACATGCTCAGGGGGAAAAAAAAAGCGAAGTGAAGGTGAGAGGAAGAATGGGAGGGCTGTGTATGGACTCTGGAGACAGACAAACCCCAGTCTAGACCCAATTTCCACTAATACAGCTACGTGACTTTGTGTGAATTATGCAATCTCTTGGAATTGTCATTTCTCTCATTTATAAATTGGAGATGATGATATTTACTGAACAGGATGTTGCAAGGATTAAAGAGGATGATATTCATAAATCTCCTGGCTGAGCCATAGTGATGTAGCCAGTAGGGTGCTCTCTGCCACACTGGAAGACATGAGGAAGACTAGGGGTTTGGATCCCAGGGATTCTGATCCAGGTTGACCTAAGCATACTGGGTGTGCATGGGTGCCCATGATCCTGGCTGGCTAGAAAGCTGGGGGTTGGGATGAGACCCTGTCAAGAGTGCTATCTCTCTCTTCTTCCTCCTTCTTCTTTCTCTGTCTCCCCCCAAAAAGAAATTTTAAAAAATGAACTTTTTAAAAAACCTATTAGCAGGGCCAGCAGGTGGCATAGTGGTTAAGGCACTGTTCTCCTATATGGCCAATCATGGTTCAAGTTCCAGACCCAGCAGCTTGAAACTCATGTGTGTGTGTGCCCAAAATCTCAGGAGGATAATGGAGGAGAAGGGATTGTGGCATGGCCATTCCTCCTGGCGGGGGTGGGGATGATTTCTTGCTTTCTGTCTCTCTGTTTCTCTGGTGAGCACACCCCTGTAGCAAAAAAAAAAAAAATAAAACTCTTAAAAAAAAAAAAAAAGCTACCAGCATGGCATTAGTGGCTGGAGTGGTAGTTGGGATGCTGGATTCCCATGTAGCTGAGAGCAATTCAAGTCCCAGACCTGTTGATTTGTTTTCTCACTTTCCCTCTCACTCTCTTTCTCTCTCTCTCTGGTGAGCACACATGCCCTGTAGCAAAACAAAACAAAATAAAACTCTTAAAAAAAAAAAAAAACCCTTAAAAAAAAAAAAAAAGCTACCAGCATGGCATTAGTGGCTGGAGTGGTAGTTGGGATGCTGGATTCCCATGTAGCTGAGAGCAATTCAAGTCCCAGACCTGTTGATTTGTTTTCTCACTTTCCCTCTCACTCTCTTTCTCTCTCTCTCTGGTGAGCACACATGCCCTATAGCAAAAACCTCTCCAAAAAAAAAAAACAACAACCCAGGAATATTGATTAATTAATTAATTTTTTAAAAGCTAGATAGATGAATGTTCTAGGGTTTCCAAGGACAAAACACAAGAAATATAAAATAAAAAGGAGACAAGTGGCAAAAAGAGAAGAGGGTGGCTTTTGAGGAGAAATGAAGAAAAGCTTGGAAGGAAGGGAAAAAGGAATGTGGACAAAAACGAGAGAGCAGGCTGTAGCGGGAACATGAGGCAGAGGGCAGCTTTTGTTTCCAAGGGCTACCACCATTGTGGTCAACCTTCCATGAATGGGAAACAGCCACTTGGTCCGAATCAGGAGTGACTTTATTGTTTTTTATTTGTTTTGTTTTTAGAGAGATTTTTTTTGCTATAGCGCACGTGTGCTCATCAGAGAGACAGAGAGACAGAAAGTGAGAAATCTCCCCCCAGGGAGAATGGACACGCCACAATTCCTTCTTGTGCATTCTCCTCCTGGAATCTCGGGCACGCATGCACAAGTGCCCAGCATGAGTTTTAAGCTGCCAATTCCAGGACTTGAACCACTGTCGACTATGTGGGAGTCCAGCGACGTAACCATTACTGGTTATGTAACCATTTGCTGGTCCCAGGAGTGCCTTTTTGTATCAATTCACAGGACACATGGAAAGTGTCCTTAAGGATGACAAGAGTGTTGTACTCTTCGGGTGCAGTTTTCCCCGAGTCTCTCCTTGTGTTTAAGTGGGAAGGGAAAGATCTCTAGGATCATTTCAGTGGAATTCATGGAAGAACTCTGCTGAGTGGAGATAAGTCAGTGTGTCTGAGTGGAAAATGCAACTAAAGCTTTGCTTTTTCATTGTGGGTCTTGAGGTGCCTCCCAGAGCCCAAGTTAGAGCTGGCCAGAGTAGGGTGAGTAGAAGGCAA